CCTCACAACAAGCTATAAAGCTTTGGAAAAGTTCAAGAATTAGATCAACATGTCTATCTCTTGATAAAAGTATTAATCAGCATCAGACTTTGCAGAGACCGTCAGAATGTAAAATTTTAGAAGCAGTTACCGATGCAGACACAGTGTTTATCCAGTAGGGGTCGGTGTTTGCTGCTTCAGTGTTTTAAGCCCACAACATTTGCCAGGTCTTTCCCAATTCACATGAAAAATGTTTATATCCGCCTACTCTGACCTAGGTTATCTTTCCCTTCTGATTGTTGTTTGTTAAAAAGAGACCAAACTTGGTTTGATATAAAGGTTAATCAAATAAAAATCAGCCTTTCCCCTTTTGTCTGCTAGCATCGTTGAATTCTGCCACAGTCCTTCATTCAACTGCCCAATGCTGAATAGAGGTGCGGGGAGCTGGTGCCCATCTCCGCACTCACTGATTGAGATGCGGAGGAGACCGCAGTCTCCGGTCCGTCACAGGGACCATATGCATACATTATTTAGGTTTATCTCTGTACTGATCAGAGTTCTTAAACGTTTATTTAACCAGGCTGCAATGAAATTTGATTTTTGTTTTTACATAACAACTGGCAATAAATAAATAAATAAAAACACATGAGCATTTTTACAATTAGATTTTTTTTCTATTTGATTTTTATTAGATTATTTTATTTCACAACTGTTTCACACATTGTATGAAAGTCGAACAAACAGAAAATCACATAAACAGACATTAACATGTGAACAAGGAAATGAAACGTGAAAATGTTTTAATTATTCTGGGTTAGAAAAGTTTTCATTGTTGTTATAACACGCAACTTGCGGTTTCAGTGTTTTGTTTGACTCTTTCACTGGCAAAATAGGTGATGGCCCACAAAAAAGAAATGAAAAAAAAAATGAAAGGAAAGCTTCGGGGCCGTCCAGACCATGGTCCAGACATGAATACGTAGACGCCCCATTGGGCGCTGGGGAGCGCAACAGCGTCGCCGCCATAATTGATGGGTCTTCTCACTAACCAAAGTCAAAGCAGGGTGACCAACTATGCTCGTTTTTCTGCAGCCTACGGTTACAACAACTGGCATATTATTGGAAAAAAAGATCACGTGGGATAACCAGTGATTTTTCTAGCCTACCTGGTAGGATTTCTTTTATTAAATTTCATTTTATTTATTTTGGTTAATTATATTTCTATTTTAATTACCATGCCATACATTGTGTCTTCTTTCGTGAAAAAAAGCTTGATAAAGTGTGTTTTTAGTTGGGTAAGCACCTTCCTCAGTAGAAATGAATGCAATGGGGGGGGGCGAATGTAGACCCTAAAATGGCGGCCGGCCCCTACGGCAGCTCAAATCATAGCGCTAGCATGCCAAAGGCTGTCACAGCGGACCACGTGATCTCTAAATAGCACCCACCTCCAAACCTGGCGCTGGTAACCTTTTATAAGACAAATGAGGAAGTTGCTCTTGCATCGGTTTAGCTCAGTGGTTACTTCTCTGCCTCAAACGCAGCTCTCTCTGCGCTCTATGAGTACAGGGTTCAACCACGGGCGCTGTCCGGTGTTTTACCGGAAGCCGTCATTTTCACAACAAATGTTTAACCTCTGATGATAATTAAAACTTTACCAGCAACACAAACATCAAGAACTGGAAAACCTTCAAACTTTGAATGGAGGTGCTAAGGTCAGCGTTCATGGGAAACATCCTAATGAAATAACAATACATGCATTTCTGTCTGCGTACTGCACATCACGCCTCTATCTTTTTATTTATTTATTTATTTATTTATTTATTTATTTATTTATTTATTTATTTATTTATTTATTTATTTAAATTTCATCTTAGAGTGTGCAACGGTATGGGTCAGTCCTGAAGATGGCGCACTTACATTTTTGGGCGATCCCAGTTGGTCACGTGATTCATGCGGGATTCCCGTGAAATGGGAGTCAATTACGTTACTGGGACAAAACAGGAAAAATAATCAACGGTAGTGGGCAAGAGTGGGGATAAAATTTCATTTCAATTTCTGTTTGATACGAAACTTTTCTTTGAAATGAATGTGCCGTTTTAATTTATGTAGCAGGACTGGTTCAACCAGTTAATTGCTCAATCTTTTTTTTAATTATTATTAACTGCATGCTTATTACGATTTCTCGTGGAGACAACAACACATAATGAAACAAGCAAGACATCCTTAGTTACAATAAAAGAAAAACAAATAAGAAACTTAAAAAGAGGCACTTATATCACAAAGTAAAAAAAGTGTTACAGATCAAACACTTTTCTGCAGCATGACAAATGGCTTTTGCAGTTGCATTGGATTTTTTTATATGAATCAAAGTGAATAAGAACATACGGAATTCATTTATGAAACAGTTCATGTTTGGCAGTTGTTTTTTTCCATTTGCCTTTGTGGATGTGGTATTTACCCATTATAATAATAATGTTAATTAACGATGAATTATTCCCAATTAATTTAGAATAGTAAATAAGAATATCTTTATTTGTAAAACGATCAAGTTCTCTATTTTATTTCTTAACCAACAATGGACTTGTTCCCAAAACTTTTTACTGACAGGACAGCTGAAAAATAAGTGTTCTATTCCTTCAGGGCTTTCCTGACAGAATTCACAAGGGTCAACTTCAAAATCAAATCTCTTCCTCAGTGTCTCTGCTGATGGAAAGTAGTTGTTAAGAATTTTAAATTGCCTTTCTTTTACTTTGGGTAATTCTCCTATTAATAAATTAGGAAGTTTTGTTTGAACATTAGAGAAGAGGATTGTGTTTTTTATCATTTGTATCTAAGTCACTGGTATAGCCTTACATACTTTCTTATATTCCTTAAGAGAACATTGAATGTTATTAAATTTGTATTTAAAATTCTGTAACTGTAGTATTTCACCATCTTTATCCATAATATCGTGTACAAAGATAATTCCTTGATGAAACCACTGCTGGTTAAACAGACTTTCTGTTTGAAACAATTACTCGATTATTCCACAAGGTGGCACAATGTGGGGTAAAATTATGGGAAAACCCATCTTCCAATAATGCAGTACTTGTTTATGAAATTCAGATAATTTAAAAGGCAATTTAGTGATTTCAAAGTCACATTTCAAAAGAAGGTTTAGCCCCCAAACTTCTTGAAGACATTTTTTGAAATATGAAACCAACTTGAATCTGTCTTTATTAGAAATTCTTTCAACCACTTTGTTTTAAATGCTCCCAGCATTGCTTCAAAATCCACTAATTTCATGCCTCCATTTTTATGTTCTTTAACTAACGGGGATCTTTTTATATAGTGGGTTTTATTTCTCCATATAAATTTGTATGTAATAGTGTTAATATTTTTCACTGGTTTTGAAGCGATGTAAAGAGATTGACATGAATAGATCAGTTGGGAAGTACCCTCAGACTTGGACAATAAATTTCGCCCAAAAATTGAAAGATCTCTGCTAAGCCATTGGTTCAAAGTTTTTTGTTTTTGATCAGTTTTTTCTTTCATATTGATTTCTTCTCTTTGTTTTTTGTCTGCAACTATCTTAACTCCTAGATATATTTCATTTCTTTTTTAACAGGAATTGACGTTATCTCATTATCTGTGCATTCATATAGTGAAAGTAATTCACATTTTTTTGTGTTCGGACGAAAACCTGATGCTTTGGAAAAAATTGAAATTATTTGTAATGCTGTGTTAGCCATAGATTTATCCTTAAGAAAAAAACAGTGTCATCTGCAAACTGACTTAAGCGAAATTCATAATAAAAAAAAGTATACCATGAAAATTTGGATGATTTATTACCAGATATGCTTATAGTTGTGTACATAAGATGAACGGGTGATTGGACATCCTTGTCTTATTCCACAAGTTATGTTTATTCTTTTTGTTAGTCCTGGGTTTACATAACTGTAAATATCAGTATAGAACATTTTTACCACTGAACACATTTTTTTTCAAAACCAAAATATTCTAAGGTGTAAAATAAAAAAAATATATTCTATAGAATCAAAAGCTTTGAAATAGTCTATAATAAAATGATGCTGTCCGTTTCCAAAATAGACCTATAATCCAGCACATCCAGTACTAATCTCACATTATTATGTATGCCTCTTCCTTTTATAAACACAGATTGATTTTCATCTACTATTTTATCAATTACAGTTTTTAGTCTTTCTGCATATTATAGCACTAATAATTTGTAATCATTGCACAACAGAGTTATTGACCTCCAGTTCTCTAAGTCTGTTGTACCTTTTTTTGGTTTGGGAAGAAGGGTTATTATTCCAGTTTTCATTGTTGGGGTAAGACATCCTTCATTTATACACTCATTAAATGTATTTAATAACAATTCCTGAACATCTTCCCAAAAAAATCTAAGAAATTCTGAGGTCAATCCATCAAAACCAGGTGATTTCCCATTTTTCATTTTTTTCAGGGAATTTTGTATTTCTTTAGCATTCAAATCATCCTACAGTTTTTTCTGTCTTCCTCTCCAATAGATTTAATATTGTTCTTTATCTGAGTGAAGAAGGATTTACATTCCTCTTCACAGAAATTTGAACTATATAGGTCTGAGTAAAAAAGTTGAACTTCCTCCTTTATTTGATTTTGGTCTACTATTACAGTGTCATTTTTTCTTAATTTGCATATTTTCTTTTTGGATTGTCTAGACTTTTCTAAACTGTAAAAATATGTTGAGTTCTTTTAGCCTTCTTCAATCCATTTAGCCCTGGATCTTACAAAGGCTCCATTTGCTTTTTCTATATAAATTTCGTCAAGCTGTTTTGGAAGCAAGTTTAGCTCTGTTAGTTCATCCTCCATGTTATTAATTTTATCACAGAGTAGGCTGATTTTTTTAGCAGTTCTTTCTGCTTTAATTTTCTCTCTTTTGTCAGAATGTTCCCCATTTCAATTGCTAACCTCTTTGTTTCAAATTTAAACCATTCCCATTTTCCTTATTTGACATATCCATCCTTTTTATGTTTTGACAAAGGGCTTTTATCTGTTTGCAAAACCCTTCATTTGATAAAAGGCTATTATTTAGTTTACGTAAACTGTCTGAAGAGCATGTTTATTTTATTACTATCAAAGTTAAGCTTATTTAACAGTGATCAGTAAGCGGAGAAGTAATAATCTCACATTTCTTTATATTTGTCACGGTTTGCCTCCACCTACTGGTGGATTTTCTCTGTTTTGTGTTGCAGGTAGGTGCGGCAGACGGCACACCTGTTTGGAGTTTTACTAATTGAGGGACAGAGGATTTAAGGAGCGGTGTGACTCGACTCCAGTGCTGGTTGATACTCTCACATGGGTAGTCTCTAGCCTCTGAACCTGCCTGCTCTGTTTCGTGATTCCATGTTAATAACTTTGAACTCCGTTCCAGTATCCTGTACCTGCATCACCTACCTTGCCTGGAGTTGTTCCCACGTCTCGTCGCTTAAAGATCCTCTGGACTCCTCTCTCCACGTCTGCCTGCCTGCCTCACGCTCTGAACTCCTCATCTGGTCCGACCTTCCTCCGTTCGCCTCCGCTCTGGTTCCGATTCCTGACCGTAAGAACTCAGTCACAGACTCTTATCTCCTGGATCTCTGGTTCTGGTCTCGCTCACCTTCTGCTTATGTCCCCGTAGATTCCGGTCTCCTCCTGATCTGAAGCAGCGCCTTAGTTTAGTTTTGCCTCTTCTGTTATTTCTCTCATTGTAAATAAACCATTTTACCTTTTACTCACCGTCCCTCTCATGTGATTCTTCATGTCCTGGGTGAAAGCTCTTACCCACAGCATGACCATATTACATAGAGTGTGAGATCAGCCAATAATCTATTCTTGACCGTTGGTTTCCATTAGAAGCACTGATCCATGTGTATACTGTTTTTGGAGGATTATTTAATTGCCAATAGTCAAACGTATTAGTGATAGAACAAACATTTGTAAGATATTGTTTTCAGATTGCTGACCTCTAGGTGGTAACCTAACCAAGAGTTTGGTACAATATTAAAATCTCCTCCCATAACCACTTCTGTCATATGAACATTTAGCCAGTCTGTTATTATTACCAATTTTTCAAACATCTCTCTGTTTTTAGTTTGTTTATAGCCATAAATGGAAAGTAATACACATTTCTGATATATTTCTATAGCTGTTATTAACCAGTGGCCGTCTTTGTCTCTATGATTAATTACTTTCCCTGTAAATTTGTTAAATGGTATCATAACCCCTGCCAAATAGCTGGTACCATGGCTATATAAAATATTATCCCCCCCACTGTTTCCAAAATGTTTCCTCCTCTATGCCTGAATGTGTTTCCTGTAACAAGTGTCCTTAAGCTCTTTACAAAATAAAAAGTGCCTTGCGGTTTATGGCGTTTTTCAACCCTCTAACATTCAAAGAAGTAAATAAAACTGACATACCAAACAAAACAAACGGCTAGGAATGTCACCTAGTTGCTCCGCTCTGGATTTATCCAAACGGCAGGAATGAGCTAGCCAAGTGAACTAGACCAAATTCTTGCTTTGCAAAGTTTGGTCTAAGAATGCTCCACTGGAACCTCTGCAGCCCCAACAGCATTCTGGCTGGCCAATCACAGCTCTCTAGAGGGGTTTCAAGCAAATAAAGAGCTGTGATTGGTCCATAATGGTGGGCCAATCATAGTGTTCTATCTGCTTAGTGAACAAATCACAGCTTTATCCGCTTTGTGAGCCAATCAGAGCACTCTATATGTCTGGTGGGTGGGATGATCCAACAGAGTGAAACGAGAGTATGTCACATTCATTGTCCAGTAGCATGCGGAGATCATTTGAAAGACAACGGTAAAACCCGCCCCACAACAGAGAGCCGTCAATGGAGCGTTGCCAGACTAAATAATACATTTAGTCTGGCTTGCCAGGCTAGGAATGAGCAATATTGTCCAACTATATTGTAGCTCATCCAAAACCTCCCCGTTTAACAATCAGAATATAAAAACATTGGGCTATTTGGTCAGGTGAGATCTCATCCTTAAAATGGCAGCCCATCTTAACAGAGGAACAGTATATTAGAAAAAATGTATGTTGGTTCTTTCCTGAATATTGAAATGTGTCATATTTCTAACATATATAGACCTTCCTCCCATCGATGATGGCGTATCCTTCCTTCAAGAAGGCCTTCTTTCCACGTTGTCTGGCTTCCTCCACCTATGGCCACAGCTTCTCCCTCGCCTCCCGATCCTCCCGATCCTCTTTCCATTTTAAAGATGATCTTCTCCTTGCATACTCTGGCCTCTTTCGACATCTTCCACACTTCTTCCTTCATCGTATGTGACACAAACTGAATGATGATGGGTCTTGGTCTGATATTCATTGCATCTTTTTTTTCCAAACGGTGAACGGTGTCCACATTCCTGCGGAGCTCGTCGACAGATACGGGGACCACTCTTGTGAGTATGCCGATAACTTCCTCTCTGATTTTCTCTTCCTCTTTTTCAGCTAACCCAAAAAGCCTGAGGTTCCATCTCCTCTTGTACCTCTCAGCTTCCAGTTCCTTCTTTTTCAGAGCTTTGTTTTCGACACCCAGAAACTCAACTTGTTTTTGTAGTTTTGTGATGTTTTCTTTGTTTACATTTGTTTCTTTCTTCGTGCCTTCTGCGCTTTTTTCAATGTTTTGTAGTTTGATTTCTAGAGCATCCAACTTTTTTAGAACTTCTTGAACATTGTTCATTCTCACTTCAATGTTCTCCAACTTCCCGTCCAGCCCATCAAATTTTTTCATCAGGATCTCCATCATCCTACACACTTCTCTTCCTCAGCTCTTTTGGGTTGTGGACTGTTCATATTAGTTTGACTGTCCTCGAGATTATCATCAGCTTGCTCTATATTTTGGGGTTCGTTTTCACTCATATCATCCATCACAGCAATGCCATAATTATGATAGACGATGGTAGCTTCGCCACGTTGTTCCATCTTTCACTCTCTCTAACAGTAACTAGCTCTTCAAAAAGTTCCTCAGTTTGTCAAAAACGAATGAAAGTCACTTCTAATTCGTTATGGCTTGGTTTTTTTTTTACCTTTAAGCAACGTTTGGACATGGAAAAAACTGTTTTCCCTTTGCAGCCTGCTGGGGACCAACTGCTTACTCCGCCATCTTGTTTCGTCTCCCCATTAATTGCATAATCTATCACCTGTGAGGTAGGATGGTACAAATAGGGGTGCCGTAGCATCTCCCTGCTTCTCTTTCTCCCTCCCTCCTTTGCATGTCTGTTGTGGAGACGAGCCTCTGGCCAACCTCCAGAAGACCCATAAGAGGTGAAAGAAGGTGAGGTGTCTGAAGACAATAACCTTGAGGAGGTGGATTACTTTGTTTTTAACCAACAGACGCCAGCTCCCATCCAACAATATCCAGAGGGTCCCATGGCGTCACAGGCTGTGGAAGTCACACCAGAGCCAGGCCCTCCAGAACCTGCAGAACCACAGGTGGGCCAAGGGGCTCCATCGGCCTTGCAGGCTGTTCCATCAGCTCCCAGGGCAGCTATGATCACTCAGGCTGCCTGGCGGACACTTAGGTCCACGGCGGGACACCACCCAAATGTTCATCATCTCCCAAGGCCAAGGGGTGTCAGCGCAAATGGCTTAATCATTGCCAATGTGTACATTAAGCACGGGGTGGAATGTGTTTAGACCATGGGTCTAGATTCCAGTGTGAATGGTTAATCGTTGGGGTGACGATTGATTTAGTGGGGGTGAATGTAGCAGGACTGGTTGGCGTCTCAACCAGTTAATTGCCCAGTCTATCACCTGTAAGGTATTTCTATAGCGCCTCTCAAGATAAAAATCACGAGGCGCTTCACAAAAACAAAAAACAACCTAAAATATAAAAAAGCATTTAGAAAATGTTTAAAAATATCTTTAAAATGAGCAAAAAAGCATAAAATGGAGTTATTCTAGTGGCTCCAATAAGAGAAAGAAGCAGCATGCTTCATAAAAGCTTTTATTTTCACTTCTGAAAGTGACGTCGTTTTTCGATGTAAACATCAAAAGGAAGCAGAAAGGAAAGACAATGGAAAATGTTTAAAGGGAGGAAAACATAGACCAAAATAGAAAATAGAAAAAAAAAACTAAGGCTAAAGCACAGGAGCACTGACAGGAAAAAGAAAATAGAGCAAATATTGAAATCGCTCAAATAAAGGACAAAAGAGGAGGGCTACTAAAAAGGGAAAATAACTCATGTCAGAAGAGGGGAGAGTTTAGAAAATCCAGTTAAAGGTAAGATTGTTGAAAATGTTGTGTAAGGGGCCCCATGTCTGTGTTTGCCTTGGGCCCCAAATTGCTAAATCCGCCTCTGCCGTCCACCACCAAGCCATTACTGATCACGTCTTTATAAGACAGATGACGATTTTGATATCGCATCGGTTTAGCTCAGTGGTTTCTTCACTGCCTGAGACGTAGCTCTCTCTGCGCTCTCTGTGGTGCAGGGTTCAACCACGGGCGCTGTTCGGTGTTTTACTGGAAACTGCGACCCCACAAGAAGTATTTGACATCCAATGTTGTTTATTAACACTTGACCAGGAACACAAATATCAAGTCGTGGAAACCGTGTAAATGTACCTTTAATTGAAGCCCTCTTTTTCTCCTCTGACATCAAGCTCTGTAACTTTGACAGTGGATGATTTGCTTTAGTAATGGTTTATCATGTCCTATTTAATAACTTGGGCCAATTCAGCATTGCATCCACTGTAAAACAATGATAAAAACCTGAACAACTGTCGGTTTTTCTTAACTTTATAAAGAAACTGCAGTCGCGTTTTTTTTGTGTCGGGTTAGCTCAGTGGTTACTTCCAAATAAAGATCGGTACTCTTGCCCACCTCGTCTCGGCGGGGTTCGAACCACGGGCGCTGTTCGATGCTTTTGCTTTTTTACATCTTTGCTCTTTGTCAACAAGCCAGAAACTTAGAAAATACAATAAATTGCATGAGCTTGAACAACAGTTTATAGAAACCTGGATCACAGACTTTACCGTCAAAGGCTTCTGAGAAATGACAAACGAAGACCCAAGTGTTAAACATTAATCATGCATTCTCCACGTGTCTCCAGTAGGAGGCGCTATTTATTAGATTTCAGAATCAGGTCCACTCCATTTCCCAGGTTGTCCAATTACATGTTTTATCAAATGAATTGCTGCATTTGGTCATCATTTTTCATGCAATACAGATACATAATCCCAGAGAACGAGAAGGCCCTAAACGTGCTTTTTCACCACGCAGACCCAGACAGTGCTTTACAGCAAATCAAGGGATGCTGGTGGGATATTTATCTCCCCACTCTCCTTTCTTAATCTAATACGATATATTTTGGAAATCACATGACCAGTATCCACATTTCCAAAAGGTCCTGCTAGTGACCACCACAGACATCAATGATGCAGGATGTTATGACATCACAGCAGGGTCCTGCAGAGAGTTCATCACTTGAATTGGATGATATTTGTTGTGATATGGATGACAGACAGACAGAATGTCTGAATGTACAGAATGGTCTACAGTAGTCTGTATGTTCCAGTTCAGATCCAATATGTGCTGCAATATTTTTATCCAGCTGTGCACAGCTTTACCCTCAAGGTGTTAAGTTAGCTGTAAATATATTTGTTTACTTTGCTTGGAAACAAAGTACAGTTGCAAAAGTGATAAATGCAAGAAACCTACATTCAGTGTGTGTGTGTGTGTGTGTGTGTGTGTGTGTGTGTGTGTGTGTGTG